AGAAGACGGGGAGGGAGGTGTTGTTTCCTTTTGGGTAAGATTCAAGGCTGCTATTGTTACTTGGTTCGTTACTAACTCAAATTCTCTGACACAGACATGGACTTTCTTATGCGACTTTCGAGCTTTCAGATTCTACAGTCAAGACAGATCCTGAGGTGCTCCGACCAGGCCGTTCCAGTGTAGCGGTAGTAAAGATCAAAAACACCAGCAAGGTCGCCGGCGCCCAAGTTCTCCAGCTATACATCTCAGCTCCTGACTCACCAACACACCGGCCAACAAAAGAATTGCACGGATTCGAAAAGGTATTCCTCGAAGCAGGCGAAGAGAAGGAGGTGCGGATTTCCATGGACCAGTATGCTACCAGCTTCTGGGACGAGATTGAGAGCATGTGGAAGAGTGAAAAGGGGACATATGACGTTTTGATTGGGACGTCGAGCCAGGAGATTCTGGGCAGGGGGAAGTTGGTTGTGCCCGAGACTCGATTCTGGCTTGGATTATAGGTATAACTATAGATTGTAGGAACGATTTTTGCAGGATGAAGGGCATGAATCTAGAAATTTAATTAGAGATACACTGATAGAAAACAGGATGTTATAATAGATGATTTTATTACATATTTTGCCTTGAAGTTTACTTTCAAGAAGTTGACTCTCACTATCGAGAGCTGCTTCGAAAACTCCACTGCTCCTGTACCCGAGTTCTACCCTTATGCAAAAGACGGCTCTGACTGTTCCATTAACCAGTCCAACAACGTGCCCAGCTCTCTAATACCACCTCCTTGATCGCTCCATATATGCAGCCTCTCTTGGACAAGCCCCACGCACTCTCTCCACAGTAGCGGCACAACAAGATGCGCCGCAGACTCAATACCAGCCTGTCTACCGCGATAAGCTGCAATAAGACACAGAGCATGGTTGAAGCGCACACGACAAGCCCCCCACGATCCAGGATGGCGGAAGAATGGATTTTCAGTCTGGATGCGGTATATACTGAGTCTTAACCCTAATGAAGCGTGAGCTCCAAAGGTTTCGGCCTGAGATCGAGTCAGCCGCATGCCGCCGTGAAGGCACATGTACAGGTACGCGCGGCAGAGAAGCTCTCGAACTTCAGCGTACCGCTCACGCATCAACTTGACCAGTTCAGGCTCGTCTGGCGGTGGCCGTGAGTCGGGCGGGATGTTGAACTGCAGCGCTGAAGGCAGACAGTCCAGCCACTGTTGCAACTGGCCTTCGAGCTTCTGGAGAGTGTCGGCGAGCTGAGAGGCGGTATGTGAGTCGACAGTTGGTGATAGCATGACGGCAGCGCTGCGGGTGCGATTGAGAAGGCGGCGCAGAGATATCTCGGCGAGGTAGTAGTAATAAGACCGCTCGGTGGACTGGATGATGGACGCCTCTTGGTGGGGATCCATGGGGCTGAAGCTCTCAATTGTTGGAAAGGTAGGGAGGGAGTAGGGGAATGATGATTCTTGTAATGTGCAAGAAGGAAGGCCGTTGAGTTCGTGCCGCACCTCGCTAAGAAGATGTCGTTAGCATTATGTGAATCACCAGTATCAAGGGGACCTTACCATTCAGACTTTAGACACGTCCAATATAATCGTTGTTCAAGGCCTGGGTAGGTTTGGATTCATCAGTAAGCTATTTCAATACCGTGCAGATTCATATCATGACATACTCTCTTCTTGTCTTGGTCGCTGAGTTTTACCATCAGAGTGTTTGAGATTGTACGCTTCCCACATCATGGACGCGGTGCGAAACATTTTCCACCCAGGGATGGGCTCAATGTTATACTGATACCACATCCTGCAACAATCAGCACAAGACCACTCATGTGTGCACAATAATGATAAAGATGGCAATGATACTTACCCAAAGAGACAAAAACACACCACGCCCAGTAATGAATCATCCAGATACGCCGTCGACATTCGTTTCTGCGCCATGGTTATGTACATGAGTGACTCTCTCATACGATGGTCGGGGATAGCCATTGTCACACGCTGCCTTGGAAGAAGATCCAGTTCCTCGTCGGCTTCTACCGTTCGTCGCTCATCGTCTGGATAATTGCCCCATATTGATGCCAGCGCGAACACTAATAGTACGAGGCATGAAGTGGCGGACCAGCCAAACCCGTTTTCCAACACATATTTGATGTGAGCGTCTAGCTGATCTGCATCGACTATTGGGTTTTTGCCTTGGATCTTGGTCATGTAAATGTCTCGCAGTTCAAACATGCGTTCTGGAGACGGATTCGACGCTTCTTTTGACGCGTCAACACAATTTTCCTTTCATACATGTTCATTCTTTGTGTAAGGGAATTCTTGCTCAAGATATAAGTATTGCACCTACCAAGTTGAGACGGCTTTGCTTTTTCCGTATACTCCGACGAAGGAAACGTTCCGACTGGCTTCTCCTGTGGAAAGACAGACCAGTTGAGGATCATGTCTGAGCCGGTGATTGGCGTCCATGGAGTGTCTTTCCGCGACAGCGTCTCCAGGTTGTCTCCATCCATATCTAATTGGCGCAGTAGCTGCATGTGGTCGTCGGGGGGCGGCTGGAGAGCATTCCTACCGCCCTCTGTTAAACTAGACAAGAGGCGCCCCTGCTCTTCAACAGCCGTCAGGATTTTCTTGCCCCATGTCTCGAATCTAGAGACAGCATAATTAGTGTCTCATAAACTTCTCATCCTTTAGAAGCTTCACTAATATGTCTCACATTGAAAAGGGATCCTTGTCCGGATAGTGACAGGGCACGCCGCGTTCCGCACATTTCGCACACGTCGGCCGCCCAGAATCGCACCGCGTCTTGCTGACCCGGCAAGCATCGCAGGCCGCCAAGATCCTCGTGTGTGAAGGGAGATGCGTAGAGCGCTTCCGCTTCTTGCTATTAATAGAATTCTCGTCTGTCGGCTCCATATCGATCATCCACAAAATTGGGCGGGTACGCACGCTACCGAGGCCTGCAGTTGATAGTGGAAGCTGGACGATAGGTAGGCTTTTGTGCGCCCTGCTTAGTTGGTTCGTAGATTGCAACGCCCACATGGAAGAAAATGTAACCTTCTTATACACGTGGCTAGTCCTAAACTGGATAATCTAGCTGTGCTACCCCGGATTACTTCATCTCGTGTTAGTGGCTGAGGTGCAGCCGAGGATCGACGCCAGCTGGCTATATCTGTGTTACAAGATCGCATTCAATCTAATCTAAGACGTGGCAAAGGGTCTGGGCTGAGCAACAGAAGATAACGTTATGCGAAGAGTATCAATGGGAAGAGAGAACTGGATGTCCACCTCAAGATGTTGCTCAAAAATCTTAAGCAGTCTGCAGTACAGGGTAAGGAGCGGGAACTAATGCGAAGCCATGCAGAACTATGAAGCCGCAGTAGCAATCGAACGTCAAAAGGTTATTCCAACGGACTGCGGGTATAGTTTGTGTCTAGAGTAGTGTTTGGGTCTTTTCATGCATGATTATTTGTGTGATAGTTACTATTCCTTTGGTTGGAGGTTCATGAACATAGCTGCACCAAGTTTTAGCAAGTTACAGACAAGATGGCCTGAAAACTTGCACCAGTCGAGGAGGCTATGACAACTGTTATTCAATCATGGGTAGATTTCTGATTCACTATCTTTAATTTTCTATCATTGACAATCTTTCCCCTGATCTTTTCTCTCTTTAGCGACGTGCATGTTGATGTACCCTGAGTTTGGTGTCATCCTCCCTACATGTGTTCCTGGCTTACAAAGATCTGGTTTATGTCAGCATTCACGCCAGAGCATATCACTCAACATCATCATGTATTGTCTTGTATTCAGTAAAAATTGGTAACAAGTCATATATACATGGCAATAAGAATAAACGCTCACCCCTTTTGTTCTCTCACTCATTTGTTTCTACTGCTGTCCCGTCATCCTTCATGTTTCTTCGTCCGTATAATGCTCAAGGCGTGCACGGATAAATACAGAGCTGTCTACCCACATTCCGCGTGCATTTAGCCTATATTGCTCGCTAGCATCCGGATTACTGGGATAGGTATTTCTTCATCTCGTGTAAGCTTTATAAGCGTCAAACATTTGCTCGCTTTTTGCTCTCGATGACGGGACATGGGAGAGCTCTGGTTTCAGAATTGTTTGGATAGCCCCAAAATTCACATCCGAGGCTTACGTAGATAGATTCAATATCGGCTGGTGCGATTCTGGTTTCATACTCATCTTATCTACCCAACGATTAATTGCGCTCATACGGTAATTTTATTGGTGCGCATGGCATGTGCATTGGAGCCTCAAAGTTGCTTCGGGCGTCAACTAAATCTAGCTTAAAGACGGGAATATGCATATTCTTGTAAGAACTTCTGCAATATGGTTGATTTAGTTAGTTAATCTATACTGCAGGGGCTCAAATCGCGGTCAGTGCACAGAACTGTATGACAGATGCCCCTGCGATCATATTTAGTTTGCGCTTTCTCAAGGCTAGTTTACGGAGCGACCACATGCGAAGAGAACTTTCCATCGTACGATCACTACGTAGTTTTACTACAGAATATACGGAGCACCACAGCTAATCCTCGTTGACAATCGGTTTCCGGATCCCGATAGAACATGTTTATTACGCTGGAGCCAAATTCTAGATGTGCCTGAAACAGCGGGGCAGATTGCGGTCCCTCGTTTGCCGCGCGGGCTGCGAGACACTGGTGCGGTTGTGCCAAGATAGAGAAGCGGTTGACAGCCGTTGAAAGGCAGGGTCTAAGATAATATTCGGTTCAAGGAGAAATATGTATATATATCAGTCTGTTTCTCTTTTGCTTCATCTCTTCCTTCTGGCTCATCATCACTCTCTTCTACTTTCAACCTTTCCCTTCTTTTCATCACCTTTCCAGAGTCTCAAGCATCGCTGTGCGATTGCCTCTGTTTTTTATCATTCATTACCTCTTTCTCTTCTTTTTGTAAAATTATCTTTTACTCTCTTTTTTTGCTTTTATATACCATCTTTTACAAACACCGACAACTGAAAATGAAGTCATCACTCGCAGCCTCCGTTCTCCTAGCTGTTGCAGCTGAAGCCCGTTTCGGCCAAGAACAGGGCAACGGCGCCATCACTGCCATTGGCGCATTGACAGACTTGGGACAGCCTGGACAGGCTGCTACTCTGGCCGGAGGCTCGATCCAGTTCCTCCTTGCTGCCGCCAACCCCTGTGGAAAGCTCACCCAGGCCGATCTTATCCTGAGCGAGCTCGGTACCAGTGACGCTGCTGTTGCCGCTGCCCGTGGACTGGTTGCCGCTGAGCAAAACTTCAACCCCTTTGTTGTTAGCGTCCCTTCCATCTGTGGTGATGCTACGCTGCCAAAGTCTGCCCAGCTCCGAGGTGTCGTTCCTCTGATCGATCCTGCGGTGACTGGCTCAGACCTTGAGAACAAAAATGCCAACGCCTCCAAGACCACGCCCTTTGCGGCCGATGGCCTCAGCGTGGCTCAGGTCATGATCAACCAGGGTTTCTCCAACTTCACAATTGTCAACTCGGATGGCTCTAAACAGCAAGCCTCGGGAGATTCAGCCGCAGCAGCACCGTCCAGCTCACAGGCTGCCAACGTTGCCGCGGCAAAGACCACTGCTCTGGCCGTTACCGCTGTTCAGTCAGAGGGATGCGCTATTCCCACTACCATGGTCACCATCACTAGGACTGCTATTGTTTCTCAGACTGCCGCAGCCTCCAATGTTGCTGCTGCTACTAGCGCTGTTGCCTCTTCTGGATCTGCAGCATCCTCCGGATCTTCTTCTTCTGGCACTAGCAATGCTTCGGCTGGCATCTGTACCGGCGGCGGCAGCACTCTCGCATGCTCGGCTCCCGCCAACGGCGCTGGTGCCATCAAGAACGCCGTCACCGGTAACTTTGACGGATTCGTCAAGTCTACCATTGCCGGTCTTGATTTCGGTCTCTGCGTGCCCACTATGAAGTTTGAGGCCGGTCTCGATGGCCGCAAGGACACCGAGTTCACCTTCCAGGCCATCGACCCCCTTGTCAACAAGGGCCAGGAGGAGGCTCTCAACCCCAACATCATCACCAACCGAATCCACGACCAGCTCACCAATGTCTGTGGAGCCAACGCCGCCGCCAAGGCCGCTGTTGCAGATGCCCAGACCAAGATTTCTGCTTTGGGAACCAGGAATGCCGATACGGCCAACACCTGGAACTCTCTTCTTGGTTTTGCCAACACCAACATCAACCCCGACAACGCTCCTGTTGCCGGACTTGTTGGACACACCTAAATGGAGAAAGACTATGTCTGAGGATTTTTCACACTTGCTCTTAGTGGCTGTGGAAAATGTGTATAAAAGCTTCTTATTCTTTGTAAAGTAGATTTTTGAGAGATGACCAAAAAATAAACAAAAATGAAATAAATCCAATGGTATACACGGCCATTATCTAATTGTTTCCATAAGTGAATATGTTATTTTCTCCTGTAATGATTGTAATAACTTGGCAAAAGGTAACGAGCCAGAGTTTGAGAGTTTACACGACTGTTTTGTGATGCTTGCGCTTTTCTGCTAATACATGTCATTCGTTTAGTGACATGACCATTAATACTTTGGTTGATATGAATATAAAAACGTTGAAACTAGCAGCATTCAATCTTGTCTGCCAAGTTAAGCCCCCACAGTCCCGGCCAGACCACGTGGAACTCCCCGGCCTACTGGATATGGAGATAACCGATCCTGGTGTGCTCCTAGCTAGGGCTTTGAAACAGGAGTACATTTCTCTCTTAGTCTTCTGAACCTTCTCTGGTTAAAAGCTTTTCCTCTAGAGACGGACAACAACTGCCCCCTTGTTATAATTTGTTACAATTAGAGTGCCGCATATGGCTAGCTTTTCTTGTGGTTCGATTGTCGGAATCTCCGCAAGCTAACCCTAAAAAGAGGTTCGGAGTTGGTAAACCATTTGATGGGCCTTGCTGGAAGTCTTATATAATGCGTCTTTCCATTAATATATATATGAGAAAGTAAAGTTCCATGCCATCTATAACGCATCTCCGCCGGAGAATTAGTAATTATTGCTTTACTAAGTTTTCCCACTCTGCCTGCGCGTCTGTCCGTTGTTCATTACATAAACTAGGAAGTGGTCGGCGCAATGCTCAGACAGCACAGACAGACTAGAGAGGATTTTGTTTCCGATAGGGAAAGCCTTCCAAATCAAATACGTAGCGCAACTTGGACACTCTTCTTCTAGAAAGCCGAGAAGCAAAAGGCAACTCAGAGCTGTGGCAGAGCTATGGTAGGGAGTTGGCTAGTTTAAGCGACGACCATTCTGATCCCTGCCAACGCGGAACAGTCCCACCGTCCCCTGAATTGGGATCCGGATGGCGTTCAAAGCCCCGAATCCCTAAGACCCACGCGGCCCGGGAGCTATTCGTACTCGGTAAAGTCTCGTCCGTTGCAGATATCGAACCACTGCGGCCGAATGTTGAAAAGCCATTGTTTGAGGCTGCGCCTAAGAGGTCCAGCGAGGTGCCCAAGTTTCGTGCCTCGTTCATCGCTTCATCTATGCAAGAGCACTACAATATGAGAATGCCATATATTAGTGTTAGAGTAACCCTCTTCAAAAAATAACAACCCCTGTGAAAACGACAAATCTATTCCGCCTTGGCTGGCCTTCGGAGAAGCAGCTGCTCTGATTGAGAACAAGGGGCTACGAGCAACATGCGGTCTATTCTTACAGGTCCGTCCTTGATTCCTTTCGTTCATCTGACTCAATTGTATTTAATGCTGGTGTTTCTACATGTATGAATCAAACTTGCTAAATCAATGCGTCGTCAATTTCATCTTCGCATGTTCGAGAGACCAGTAACATATACCTAAGTACGAGTATGCTCGCGATATCATCGGCCGAGATGCCGAAGCTGCACATTGCCATGGATCACGATAACTGTAGTTACAGCGGCGTATAGCACTGTAAAGCACTGTAGACGCTGTTATGCTAGTGGGGGCCCTTGACTCAGCTGGTTGGGTTTCATCGGCGACGGATCTGGCTGCTGCTGATCAAGATTGTCTTCAGTAGACGAAAGATTGGTTTTGTAGATCAACACCAGCCTCGTTGATCAACGTAAAGTAGATACCTACATGTAGATTTGATCGACCTCTGTAGTGACGTAGCCTTTCAGCTTCCATTGCCACAGAACGCTACAGCGGGAGAAATACAGTAGTCGCTTTGCGCACACACTGTGCAGCATAGATGGTAGCCTTCTGTCTGCCTCAGGTGCCACAATCGTATATCTGCTCTGCAAGATCTCAAGCATTCCAGCCTCATCTCTATTTCAGCATGTTGCTGGCACATACACAATCACGGCCAATTGATCTTTGGTATCTGATCTGCCCTACACAATGTTCGTTCCGTGCTGATGTTTTATAGAAACAAAGATTCCTAAAACCACATCACTACCCTGATGGCCTCCTCACAAATCAACTGCCACGATCGGCCAAAACCAGAGTCGCAAATCTGATGGACGACATCCGTTCTTCTCCAAAAGGTACGAGCGACCTTTGCCTTAGGGATAGCTCAGTCGAGTGGAAATTGGGATCAAGGCGATAGGTAGAAATCTGGATTTGGGCGAGCAGAGCCTCTGATTCTTCTAACGACAAAGCAGACGCTTTTTACTCTTTGCAGCATCGTGGCGATCAATTTCCAAGCTGCTAGGCCATTCTTGACAAGATCTTGTTAGAGATCGCTCGAGTCTTTAAACCAGCCACGACTCTCGTTCATCAGCTCGAAGATGGCATCTGTATGACGCACAAGCCCATCCAGCGATTGGATATCCAGTCCAGCCTCAAGCTCGGACTGTTTCTAGACCCTTGAACCTGACATGGGTGGCCTGCTTAGTAACATGGACTGGCAGAAATGACGCCATGAGATTCACGGCCAGGAATCACTCGTTAAACACCAGAAAACACTCGATTAATCATGAACTCATTGCATCTATCTTCTAAATATAGCTGCGATATACATTACTTGCTCGGCTTGATAAACTGAGCGAAATCAGCCGGGAGGCTCTTCTCAGCATCCTCGCGTATTATGGAAATATTTACTGGTTAGAAGGAGGGTTCAGGTTCTGGGTAGCCTGGATCTTGGGGACGGCACCAAATCGCTGGTTGCCTTGGTCGAAGATCTGGTATTGATTCGTCAGTATCGGTAACTTCATTCAAGTGCAAATGTTCAATATACTAACCGCATAAACAGACTTCAAGAACACGTCGCCTAAAATGTCAAAGGGGTTGTCTCCTCTGGACTGAACACCTCCGTACCAGTTGTTGTTATCCGCAGGAGCAAAGGCCAGGTCCTCGGGCTGAATCACAAACTGCGTGTTTCCGACGGAGACCTTGAATTCAGGGAGACTAGACACATCCGTGCTCATGGGGAACACGTAGCCCTGCTGTTGGTCGTCGTATTTCGCGCCGGGAATAGCCTTGTACAGAGCATCGCAGACGTCGTCAGAGACCAGCGCCAAGGTGGTGCCAGTGTCGGCGATGGCGCTGTTGCCGGACTGAGAGATGGCCTGGCCGTTGACGGAGCTGCTGGTCGAGGGGAACATCCAGAAGCCCTGAGAGTTGTCGACGTCGGTCCAGGCAATCTGCTGTCCGGAGGCTGTGACGAGATCCTGGTCGATGTAGCCGAATGTGTAAAAGGACTCGGCGTTGGCATCTCGCTCGCTGTAGAACGCAGCAGTGAAGAGCTGAGACTCGCTGGGAATGTCGTCCTGGGTGATCATGTTGGCAACGGGGGTGTTGGCGGGCGTGGGCTTGCCGTTGGTTGTGACGGTGTTGATAGATGGCCAGGCAAGGCCGAGGAGACCATCACCGGTGCCCTGAGCAAACTGCTGAGCAAGGGTTGATGCGAGCTCAACGGTCTGATTTTTAATGGTGAGGCCACCGACGGTCACGTTGTCAGAGCCACAGTCACCGCCTGCTGAACTGCCGTCACCATAGGAGATTTGCCATTTCTGGCCAGTGAGCACCTTGAAGGTGGACGAGTTCTTGGGGTTGAAGACTGTGTGGTTGCTTTGGAGAGACTTGCTCAACTCAGTGGAGAAGACCTAAGCAACAAGGTTAGCCGCTACGCTGCACAAGTCCAAGGATACATCCTCGTCTTATTTCGCTCAACTCACCCAAAGATCAGAGGAACCGGTATCAAAGTCCAGCAGCAGCTTCTGGCCAGGCGTGCCAATGGTCACCTCGCAAAGATACTCCGAGTCATTTTGCTGGTCCTCAGCCCCCACTTCTCCAGTCTCCGTTCCGCTAGGGTCTGCGACGCCCTCTGGAGTCTGCTTCTTCTTCAGGTGCTTCTTCTTGTGGACGCGACCCCCACGAGCCTCGTGAAAGTCTGGGTGGGCAAGTCCACGCTGGTGGAACGAGGCGCCCTGGAAGTACGGGCCGGGCTTGGTGGGCTCAAAGCCAAAGCGGTTGAGCAGGTAGACGTATGACTTGGTGCCGTGGCGCTTGTAGTTTTCGTTGCGGATGGCCTTGATCTTGCTGAGGCCGCGCTCCAGGGCGAACTTTGACTGCACGTTGAAGATGGCCTCCATGGTGGGTGACGCCTTATCTATGATATGAAGTATATGGGTTTATGATGTTGATTGATTCAAGTATAACTCGAGAAGAGCTGGTGGGAGTTAGTTGTCTTTTATCTTGCTTCGACCGACGATCAACACTAGTGAGCGGGGGAGAAACCGGATTATTTATACAACGCTCTAACACTCGACGTTGGAAAAATATCACCTCTTCAGCTCGAATGCATATAGCTTCAAAGTCGTCATACATACATCTAGCCTTATCACACCTATCGCGCATGGGAGGGTCGATATGCGGTTTCCCAATTTAACGCGCGTCAAGGGGCCAATTACTCTGTTGCATCGACGCAGAGACAGCTGACTGGCTGCCTCAGAACTGTGCCGCATGATATGCTGCAGATCCCGTTTCCTGGCAACGCCCTTCTTTTCGTCATCACTCGACCTGCACGATGCTATTGCCGTCAGGGTGACGCCGGGCCTTCAATGCGGACCTGGAACAAGCCTGGAAGAAGCCCAGGCGTCTTGTGATGGCCAGTCCAGGTGCATGAAGTGTGAGCGGAGCCTGAAGTGCCGAATCCCGAGTAGCGGCAGAGGCGTTGGAGGCGTTCACAGAGTGGACGTGAGGCGCGGCCCGAGTGTGTTCCACAGCATGGAGTCGCACACACTTTATCCAGCCAACCGTGGCGCCACGATAGCACAACCCCCTGGCCGGATGCTATATTTGACAGCAGACTCGCCCAGAACGGGTGCATCTCCAGCTGGCATCCTGGCTCGTTTTCAGCTCTCAAGAGGCATCTACCGTCATTGTCGTGAGTGCTTCGCCAGCGCAAAACATGCCGCTATTCCCGTAGAGCCCTCTTGGCCAGTCGCTGAAGTGGGTGGCTGCCTGCTCTGCTCTGCTCATTTCGATAGCGTTGGCGGTTTGCTGCCGTCATCACGATTGTTGCCAACTACAGATGATAATGTGGAGGTGGAGATATAGACTAATACATGCTAACAGCAGCTGCTAGAGCTTGCAAAACTCGGGGGCCGCCGCCACTAAACCGCGGGAATCAAGCATACAAAGAGACATACATGCTAGTACGCGCGTAGTGTGCATTTGCGTGTCCTCACAAGGCCGAGTTGAGGGGCTCGTGAACGGCGTCAATATCTGAATGAGGTGCTGCTGCGTCTTACAAGCATCTCACTAAGCCATCAAATAGCGCCTTTGCGAGCACGATTACATATCAGATAACCCCGCCTCTCGCTGCCTCGTTGTTCTCATCTCATTGGAGCTGTCGAGTTTCTGTTTAGCCAGACCATTGGACTGCTTGTTTTCGATCAGCACCAATTACTGCGCAGGACAAACAATGAGTTATGCATGACGTTCTCGCCAGTCATGAGAAATAGCAGCGAGTAAGTCTATTCGCACTGGCTGACTCTAGCCACGTTTCAAACAAGGTAAATCACAAAGTGGTGCGACGTCAAAAGTCTCAAGCCTTTTATAAGAAACATGCAACGGCTCATGACTGGCAGTTGGTGCACTAATAAGACATGCGATTATCAATTAGTACGTGATGCCTCACATTGACTGCTGACAGGCCCCACGCGACCACAGAGTCTAGCTATGGGAGACTAAGAAACCAGAGAAGCACGCGAGATAAAGCAAAAGATTGATGATTGATGTTATTCGCTACAACGCTAAAGTGGTATCTAATGAATATGAATAAAATAACAAAGAGCAAAGAGATAATTGCTGATGTCAGCCCGCGCATCATGCCATCTCTTTATGTAAAGGTGCTCTGGTCTGCGACTAGCTGCTCCCACTGTAGCCATTGATTGGGATCTGTATCAAACGACGACAAATTAGGAAAGTTGTGCGGCTCTGAATAGCCCACATCAAGATAGTCCACATACGAGGCTTTGTCATAAGTAGTCGGAGGCCAGGCAACAGGCTTCGGATTCGCCTTTTTCTCTTCAACCGGAGTTTCTGGCAGCTTTGACTTCTGGTAGTCACGGATGGCCTGAATATAGTCGGGCGGCACCGGATCTGGAAGTCCTTCAGCTTTTGAAGCCTCGACGTGGGCGTCCCAGACTTCCAGCGTCCATTTGCCGAGTGCCACATAGACGGAGCCCGTGAACTCTGAAAACACCTGAGGGGCGCGTGCGAAGACGACGCCGATGAGTTTCCACGACTTGTCGACTTCTGGCCCGAATTTGCGGACTCGGAGCTCCATGAGCAGGTAGAGCATCGTGTTCCAGCAGTAGCTCGTGCCAATCTGCCACAGATACTTGTCCAAGCCCATGTGGCCGCCTTGGACCATGCCTGCGTATTCTAGAAGCTTCATGGCGTTGTGGAATGCGATGTCATGGTCCTTTTGAGTGGCGGGATATCGAGGCGCAAACTGTCGCAGATTATGCGCAAAGAGCCTCATTTTGCATACCGCCGACCGCACCATGATGGATAGAAACGTGTGAAAGGGATTCAAAGGGTCGCAGTGCCTCAGATATTTCTTCTCCATGTGATCCTCTACTTCGTCGATGACGCTGTCCTTGGTAGCGAGCGAGATGTCTGGACTGTACAGCATCTCCCAGCGCAAGTCGATGGGACGAGTAGCCGCGCATTTGCACAGCGACGCAATCATCTCGCACTTGATGATGGCGAGCGATATCCCCGTAATGCCGTTGTGGTCCTCGGGAAGAGCAGTCATGCCCGGGTAGAGCTCGCTGTCTTCGACGTTGATGGGATGTTTGGTATCCGCCGTGGAGATTTCTGGCGAAGGCTTGGTGCCCATGACATCGGCGGTGCGAAAGTCAATGTGCGCGATATGCCACCACAGTCGTCTTCGCATTTCCGTCTCAAAGGGGGGGAGGCCGAGGAACGTGCCGTCGCGGTGGAGGCCCATTTTGCGAGCGAGCCGGATGGCGACGCCGGATAAGACGAAGAGGGTGTCGCAGCGATAGATGTCTCTGACGCAAATCTGTTGATCTGCATTAACAAATGAAACAAGATTGGAAAAGGGGGGACTGGATGGTATGAACATACAATGAAGATGGAAAAAGCCTGAAGGGTCATGAGGTTCGCCGTCGACAAGAACCTCGCATTCACCAAGGCTTGCCGAGTCGCGGTTCGATAGCGATATAGGAGAACCTTCTGGTCTACATCAAATAGCTCTCGGGCCTCATCCGCTTTCAACGAACACATAGAGACCAAGTAAAAGGAAAAGATGAGCGCCTCCAAGCTCTTGGGTATTCGATCTGGATTTTGCAGCTCATTTGTCAGAGCGACCCAAAAGGTGGGAAGGTGTAGGAACTTCATCATGGGATCGACCCTGTCTATGAAGAAGTCTTTTAGTTTCGATATCAGCGGCAGTGGAAGATGGTATTTGGCAAGGTCCATGACTTTGTCGCCTCTCTCGGGTTCAAACATTAGTCCGTCTTCAATATCGTTGACATCTTCCTCTGTCGGTTCGCTGAATTGGGTGGTGGATTCTGGATGTTGAAACTACGGCGACTGTTAGTAACAAACTGTCAAGCAAGTAACGAGATGCAAGACTGGAACGAGGTTTACATCTTCTGATAAGTTGGACCACAGAGCACTAACAGAGTAAGCAAAACTTCGTGTAAGTTGCAACCCGTCGCCAACCATACCTGTCATAGTATCTCGACGCTCCCTCTTTCATGATAAATTTAGGCGTCATAGCATCCTCACGGTCCTGCGTCTTGACTATCGACATTGCCCCATCGCTCGACGCAGGAGTATTCAGAGACTGTGACTCTGCTTCCGAATCCGATCTATCATCGCCATCGCTGGGCTCAATCTTCGCCCCATACGCCCTGAGCATCTCTTCATATCGTCTCAGCCGCGCATGGAGCGTCTCTCGAGGTGGTTTCGTCCTTTTCCGCTTTCCGCGTACAGGCGCAACAAAGTCACATCTCCTCTCCGCCTTTGTGCAATTCATACACGGAGCCCGCCTATCGCATCTGACCTTGCGCTGCCTGCAGCTTACGCACGAGTAGCCCTTGAGGTCGCCGCTGGGTTGCTTTGGCAGCTCCATCACATCATTCATCACCGCTTGTTTCAACCGCCCGTGACGTGGCCCAAAAAGTTTGTCTTCTTTCCCCAATCCCGTATTCCTATTTTTTTCTCCCCTTCTCGGTGTTAATGGACAAGTTTAAAGTCCGAAATGAAAGAGTTTGCGGAGCAAAGCCGGCGCCTGTTTTGACTCATGCGTTAAACGAGTTGAACGAAAGGATTCACTAAGGTGAGTTTCGGTGCCATTCGGGGCTCGGGCGTGAATTTTTGCAATTCTGAGCCCCGAGATGCGGGTTAGTCTAGCGCCGCAGCAAAAGGAGTTATGGGACCACAACTCCTTATATAATGCAACGTCTTGTTGTTTTTTCTTTTAGTTGTGTCGGCAGTTGTAGACTCAGGAAACGAGGTTCTTCTAGAGTTGGAAGCCTGTTTCTTTGTTTCTTTTCTTTTTTGCTGAAACTACACTCGTTCATCAACATGTCTCAACCAACATCTGAAGATGAAAAGCCACCAACGGCCACTACAGAGACAAGCGTCGTTAAGATGGAGACGCACGAGTATCCATCCAATCAGAAGCGAGTGCTCATCATGGGCTCGCTTTACCTGGCCATCTTCTTGGTTACTCTGGTATGGGAATCAGCACGGTTATGAAGTCAATATAATACTGACTTACATCTTTTTTTTATATTATAGGACACAAATATCATTTCGACCGCCATCCCTCGAATTACAGACGAGTTCCATTCTCTCAACGATGTAGGCTGGTATGGCTCGGCCTATTTACTCACCCAGTGCAGCTTCCAGCTCGTCATGGGAAAAGTTTATAAATACTATCCTACGAAACCAATTCTTCTTGTCGGCATTGTTCTCTTTGAAGTTGGATCCGCTGTCTGTGGTGCAGCTCCCAGCTCAGCAGCCTTCATTGTCGGTCGTGCCATCGCCGGTCTAGGAGCATCGGGCATCTTTTCTGGCATCATGGTCGTCTTGTTCCATACTATTCCGCTGCAACAGAGACCCATCTACCAGGGCCTTTTCGGAGCCGTCTTTGCACTTGCTTCTGTTATTGGCCCCGTTGTTGGTGGCACCTTTACAGACAAGGTCACTTGGAGATGGTGCTTCTACATCAACCTGCCGATTGGTGCAGTTTCGCTCATTGTCACCACTTTGATCCTCCACATGCCCAACCAAAAGCTTGAAACACCTGCGGCAACATTGCTCGGTAAAGTTCAGCAACTCGACCCGATTGGCAACCTGGCCTTCTTCCCCGGCATCATCTGCTTGATTCTGGCTCTGCAGTGGGGAGGCACCACATACCCCTGGAGCGACGGCCGTGTCATTGCCCTCTTTGTCATCTGCGGCGTCTTTGTTTCGCTCTTCATCGGCATCCAGATCTGGAAGGGCGAGGCTGCAACAGTCCCACCTCGTATTGCCAAGCAGCGCAGCATCATCGGATCTCTCTGGTTCACCTTCTTCAGCGGCGCCGGCATGATGGTCGCCACGTACTATCTTCCCATCTGGTTCCAAGCAATCAAGGGCGTTGACGCCATTACTTCTGGCCTCATGTTGCTGCCCACGATTCTTTCGGTGGTTGTTTCTTCGATGGGATCTGGAATTCTCATTTCCAAGCTCGGCTACTACACTCCGTTTTTCTATATCAGCGCAGTCATGATGCCGATTGGAGCAGGGCTGTTATCAACGCTGGAACCCGGAACTGGCCACTCCAAATGGATTGGCTACCAGGTCCTCTTTGGGCTGGGTCTTGGCTTCGGCAACCAGCAGCCCCTGAACGTCGTACAGACGATCCTGGACAGACCAGACATCGCGACCGGTTCCGCCCTGGTCATGTTTCTCCGTTTCCTCGGCTCGTCCATCTTCTTGCCAGTTGCACAGAACATCTTCATCAGCGGCTTGAGCTCGAGAGTCGGCCACAATATTCCAGATGTCGACCCCAAGCAAGTGGCTAGCGCGGGCGCCACGGATTTAAAGAATTTGGTTCCGGCGAGCTACCTGCCGACGCTTCTCATTGATTACAACGACGCGATCATGGTTCTTTTCTACATGATGGCTGGGATAACAGCGGCTTGTATCTTTGGCTGCTTCCTTGTGGAATGGCGCAGCTTGAAGGCTCGTGCTAAGAATGAGGCGGGAGCGAAGCCAGCCCCGACAGATCCAGAAGCGAAAGAGGTGGCTGTGGCGGAGGCGTAAGCCAGAATGGATTTACGAAAACGAAGCGGGCTATATACCCAGAAGTTTAGAACTGCCACAGATGGGCAGTGGACAGGGGCACAAAAGCAGCGGAGGTGCATCACAGATCATACTAAAGCATTACAGATCATATAGACGAGATACGCGGGCCTATCGTTCATGTATATACTAGGGGGCTAAAAATTTAGAATATAGATTAGCTTGTACTACTAGGCTTCAGCCCAATTCCACCTATTCCTCACTCAGACTATCCTCCGACGTGATTCCATTCAAAGCATTGGGCTAGGACCACTTCTGCTTTTTGATTTCTTTCACCGCGTGATGTATACATAATAATAGAAGTTGATCAGCCTAATCAGTGAAGTCAGACATGGAAACAGAGGGGTTTAAGTGGGCTGTTTTCCTACAAAGAAAGTTTGTAGCAGGAAACTGGCAACTTTGTTATAAAGATTTACGCGATAGAGTATTATCCTATTCGGTCTGCGCGCCGTTAGGATGTAGGTCATTTGCACCAATTGAACTAATGCGACAATAGGGCATTGGCTCAAGCTCAGCAATTGTCTTGGTAAGGCGTTAGTGCTGACGTTGACACGCCACGAGAGAGCGAACCGTAGAAACACTAGCAATACTAGGCACATATAGACTAGATACACCTATTGCCGTAGAAAGTTAATATGGAAGGCGGCTGACTACGCATTCCAGGCGTCTGGATGGCGTTCTTGCTGAGGCTGTTATTATATAAACGGTGCAAGTTGCCGTTTTGACTTGAAGTTTGTTATACAATAAGCTTTTTTTAACATCTACAACTCCCTTAACATTTCTTTTTTCTAAACTGCCTCTATCATGGAGTTCAAAGTCACCGAGTTGCCGGACACTAACATCCCGGCATCGTCACTTACACGAGATGATATTGCAAAGGAAATCCCAGGTCTTTTGTCTCTTTACGATGAGTTTCCGCAAATCATCTACACTGCGTCAGACCCCTTATTTGAGACAATAAGCCCTTCATTTAACAGAGCCACCACCACCAGACCCCTAGCTGTGGTTCGCGCCCTGGAAGAATCTCATGTTCAAGCCACCATCAAAGCAGTTCAGGCCGCAGGCTTGCAATTCGCCATCCGCTCAGGAGGAGCAGAGCTGGAGGGACGAAATTTTCGCGGAATCGGAAGCGGAGTTATGATTGATACACGCAGCTTGTGTTCCATCAAGGTAGCGGAAGACAAGAGGTCTGCAGTTATTGGCGGCGGTACCATTGCAGGTGATCTTGCTCTTGCCCTTAACAGAGAGGGCGCCTTTACACCTGTAGGATGGCATCCGAGACTTGGATATGCCGGATGGTCAATGGCGGGCGGATACGGCATGTACGCCTCTTCTTACGGCCTTGGAGTTGATCACATTCTCGGTGCACGGATTGTTCTTGCCGACGGATCTGTAGCTGTAGCAGATGAGAACAACAACCAAGATCTGCTTTGGGCTCTTCGAGGTGCTGGAAATGGCATCTGGGGCGTTGTGACGCAATTTACCATCAAGACCTATCCAGCACCAAAGCTTTTGATTGGCAGTGTCAAGTTTGCAAAGAAGGATTGGCCAGCTGTGTTGGCCGAATGGGCTAAGAATATTGAGCCAAACCTTCCAGAGGAGCTTGCAGGCGACATCTACTTCCGAAACAATGTCTTGGAAACACCAGAAATGAACATTTTGTTTGCATGGTGCGCCAAGGAAGGCGACGACCTGAAAAATGGATGGGAACACTTTGAAAAGATCAAGAGTCTGCCTGGAGCAGATGTGGTCCGCATTGGAGAATGTGAGTCTTCTTCCCGCCAATGAATGATAATCGTGTTTACTAACCTTTGACACAACAGCGGACTTTGCGACCTTTCTCATGACTGAGTTGACTATCCAGCCTGGAGCCTTTGAGTGTCGTGGAGTCATAACAAAAGGCCTCACCGAGCGCGTGGCTTCAGTCTTGATGGACCAATGGAACGAAGACCCGATGTTGTTCATGGGCATCCCCAGCCATTTTGTCCATGGAAAGGCTGCGCAACCAAACCCCGGCTCGTGTTTCAATCTACGCTATCGCCACAGACTCTTCCCAACTTACGCCCATCACGTGGTGTTGACAAGGACAAAGGAGGGAGACGATATTGAGATTGGCGCAATTACGAAGACAGTGGACGCGATCAAGGCAACGGGAGATGCGTATGTGGGCGCTTCGTATGGAAATCTGATTAACAGCTCGAATACGGACTGGGAAGTCACTTATGGCAAAGAGAATTTAAAAAAGCTGAAGGAACTGAAGAAGAAGTACGATCCGAAGAATTTCTTTTCTAGGGGATATCCGGTTTTAGTGTAACTAGCGTTTTCTTCCCTTTGTTTCAGCTAGCTAAACTGTTTCAATACTCTTAATCGACATTAATTAGTGGTAGATGGAACTCCCTCATTGTCCAGGCTAGTATAAGTCAACTGAACAGCTGGATAGACATCGCTGCCATAAGTTGAATTTAGCGTCACAGCCCCAACAGTGCTTCCATCTTCAAGCCGCGTCCAAGTCTTGGTCGATTTGCCAAGATCCTTGATATCAACAAGAATCTGCCGAGACCCTCGTGTCCATGAGCCGTAGCCCCCATAGCCGGTGTGGCGACCGAAGCAGAAGACGAGACCATTGCCCGTCAGGTCCAAGAATGTGAGGGTTTCATTCCACTTGAAGCACCAGTCATCGCCATGATCATGGCCGCTAAAGACGCCCATGAGCTTCTCGGTTTCTAGCAGAGCCTTCATAAACGCTTTATCTTGGCCGGTATACTCGAAACTAGTAGTGGCGTTGTATAGTGGGGATTGAACTCCCTGCTGAGAAAGCGGATTGTCTGCATTAATTCCAGGCTCTTTGTGCCCGTCAACGCCATCGGTCTGCTGAAAGCCATACATGGCGCCGACGGGAATATGGACAAATGCGTACGAAGGCAGAGTCTTCTTATAGCGTTTGGCCAGCTGGACTCTTGTGGCTTCGAACCACTCTACAACGCTTTCGTCAACCCAGTTTGGTCGAGCAACGTCTGAGCCGTCTTTTTTCTCTTCTTGGTAGTAGTTACTTTAAGATTGGGTGAGTCAATTGCAACACATTTGAGAAGTCAAGATCCTGAGACTTACCCGCCTCGGCTGTCAAAGAACCAGAGGATCATGGCAGGAGTAGAGTCGCGTTTATCATTGGACATCACCTCCAAATAGTAATTAGAGACGCCGGCATTTTTATCTTTGACCATGTTCCCTGTCAAACTGTTCTTGTATGTCTTCTCTCTCGCGTATATGTTAGCAGAAGAGAGATTGTACGCTGAATCGTGGTCTACAATGGGTGAGCTACTGTCTGTGTTGATCTAATACGGGCAAATACGCACTGCCATATGTCGATGCCCAGGGAAGGCCGCGCGCCACCAAAGGAGAAACAATGTCGTCGACATAATCGGTTGAATTCTTCTTAAACGTATTCTCACCAGTGATGAAATCTCCATTGATGACCACAAGTTGGGGAGACTCTTTCTCCAGCACCGTCTTCATCACCCGCAGCGTATCCACGTCCTGCAGCGGGCCCCAGTCTGTGTTTTCCGCTTCTCCAAAATGCAAGTCATTGAAGACTGTCATTTGAAAAGTGCCTTTTGGGGTGAATCGTAATTGAGGCCACGCAGAATGCGCAGGAACAGCCGCAGCCGCGATCTGGCGGCCCATGAGCGCCGCTGACATGAGGCCGCTGAACGTGAACATGGTTGCGGATCAATGATGCAAGAGACTACTGCAGCAGGTCATTTTGAAGTTGTAGGCTCAGCTGTTATTTATCTTTGAAGCTATTCATTCTATATAGCTGTGCTCAGTAATAATTGTGCCGCATTCCCGGCGCCATCAAAAAGCTCCTGCATCTCAAGCGGCTGTCTTTTATTTCGCGATAATCGCCAATGCAGCGTTACATCCCACGTGTAAAAAATGTCCAATCGGCAGCACTTGGCTTTCTTCCGTCTAAACAAGGCTCATACAAGAAAGCCGGCTGAAACGGCAAGCAAGTCGGCGTTGTGGGGGACGTCATACCATACTGCAGCTGTTAACTAAGTTCCCACGTGGGCGCTGTCAGAATGTAGAGCCAGCCACTGAAGTTTAGAGCAGGGTGGGTTTAAGGCTTGGGGTCGAGATCAGTAGAAGGCGTTGCGGGAGCTACCTTGATTTGGAATTCAACTTGCCAATTCAGTGGCGTGGCGAAAACTGTAAGATATGTAATTACAGAGTATGTGGCACGGCATAGAAAAGTTTTAATGAAGACGGTCTTCCAGCAGAACCGCTGTGTAAATAGTTGCTGTTTCGTCCTGATGTCGCTTACTCAATTCTTCTCTCTCATCAACTCACCCTAGCTGCCAAAAGACAATGAAAACACTGCTGTTGTAGCCAGTTTCGATCGCCACAATTACTAAGGATTATGATTCGCAGCTCTTTTTAATAAGCGGAGTTCTCAAGCTTTTGTCATTCGTAAAGCGAGATCTAACCACAGAAAAAGCGCCAAGAGGCCAAAGAACGCAAACCAAAAACTACAGTGAGAAACACGCCTCAATTTCCAATTTACTTGTGCGAGAATCCGCCACATGGAATATCAGGCATCAATTTGATATAGTCTATCGAGTCCTTTAGCACGACGCATATGTCTCATTCAAATGAAGAATCGTCTTCTTCGCCTTGTCTGCATTCTTCCATCTCAACGAAGTAACGCTGTTCGGCCTCTCCACGGTTTCCACCTCGACGCCAGCCCGCTTCGAAACGATGTCCATTGCTTTGATCAGTTCAGGACTTGGTTCCCAGGCGGCAACTTTAGGAAACTTCCACTTGCGGGCTTCCTCTAAAACATCTAACAGCAAAGCAGCCAGTACTTCGGGGGAGCCCTGGCCGACAACTCTATCGATTGCCAAATGCTTGAATCCGTAATGCCAGTATATCCAGGTGTCGGCAGATTCACAGATGGCGCCGTGAGGATACGGCGCTTCGCCACCACGCAGCTTGTCGTTGAGGAAATCGCCCCAAATGTGCAGCCAGCTAACCATTTCCGCCGATGGAATAACGGCGACATGCACTTCATTAGCTCCAACAGCCAGTTTGTCAAAGTTCTGCTTCAACTCCGCCACGTCGCGCTCGCACAGAGCCGGAATCTCCTTGTCGGTCAGAAGACGAGTGCTGGGAAGGCCTTCGCGGTCCACTGGCTGGAATTCGCCGGAAGGATGCGTGATATTCGATATCATTGAGGGTATCTTGTCCCAGCCTTGGCTGACATAGAACTATACAAGCCCTTGGTAAGAAGCAGTTTAACTTGAGATTTTCATCGCATCACTTACATCGCCAACGCTGGTGTACAACATGCTCGCTGCCGCATCAGCTGGGCCATCCAGCCATTCTGCAACATGTTTGATGAGCAGCGACGCAAGTCCCAGCCGTCTGTAATCCGGATGGGTACCGACATAGCCGATGCAGTAACCGGTCTCTTCACGCACAGACTCGCCGTCCCGGACGAGGAATTGCCGGCGTACCGTTTTGGTAACTGCGAGCAAAGTTGTCGGGTCGTCTGCCAGATAAATGCACCAGAAACGGGTGCCTTGATTGAGAGTCAGCGGATGCTGCGCAAGATACTCTTCTTGAGCCAAGAAAGCCGAGCCCGGGAAAGAGGGCGCGAAAGCAGCGGTGACGATTCCACACCACGGCAAGATTTGCTCGGGAGCTGCTTCTCCCAAGACAACATTCAGAGGGCCATCTGGTCCTTTGATGGTAGCGGTGGCCGGTAAAGATTGTGTCATTGTTGCGCTTCTCTTTCACTTGATCGTTATGGAAAATGTGAAGCTAGTTGTATCATTAGAAGTTGCTGTACACTGTTTAAATCTATTAGCGGCATTTATTAATGTTGTGGACCTGGGACTTGTACCCCCAAGTCAAACACACTATTAGGCAACAGCGAATGAAACTAAAAAGGATTCGTAAGAGGGTTACGAATCCAACAACTCTTTACTATGTTGCATGTGATTCAGTTGCGAAATGGTTACCGATTTGCAAAGGCACTTCACCTGCAGTTTATCAAATACTTGCCGCGACGGCGCGGCTCATCTTTTTAGCAGCCCATTGGCTGTAAAGCAAGAAGAGAGTTGACCCAAGATTCAAACTTTAAAGATCTGGCTCCTAGAGCCGCTAAAATCGTCAAGTACATACGATTTGGGGGCTTATAGACTACCTAGGTAGGTAGTCTATAAGCCCCCAAATCGTCTTTGTTCTCCATGTTTTGCAACTACGGCACGCAGAAACGGGGCCTTGAAAATCCTAGAGATATTGTACAAGACCCCAAGTTCTTGTTACCAGCAGCATCGGAGCCCCAAAACGGGCTGGGGAAAAGGCCCAGGATGTTGTCCCCCGCAAAATAGCCTGGGCTCGTCGCAAATGATGCAGGCAACAGCAACGCGAAATTCAAGACATTGAATGTCAGTAGGCACGTGTATCAAGGGCGTCTAAGCGCTGAGTCGCTGTAATTGTAAGCTTGTATTCCATCTTGATTTTTTTTCGCTGTAATAAATAGCTGGCTGTCCAAACAATCTACGAAGAATGATAGATTGGAAATGCATATCAATCAAATTTTTTTTTTGGATATAATTGATCCAGCTGTATTTCACTTATTTAATACCAACAGAGCTACAAGTTACAAAATCTGAGTATGCGCGCGCATGGAGAAAAAAAAATCTTTTAATCGATGCTGCATATCGCCATATGTGGGCGAAATAATTGTTCAACGAGGCACAGGCTTGACTGATGCAGAGCCGAAATCATGTGCAACGTTATTGAATAAAAAAGTCCATGCGTTTCTATTGGATACTACTCGTGCATACATCATCTCTGTAAACTCTGGGCCGTCTTCCCGATTGGCTACTTTATGCGAAATATCACCCAATAACCATTGCAGGTGTCTTCACTATTCAATTAATATGCCTAAGCAAATAATGATATGGTTTATGGTTAGGCATCATCAGAGCCTTACGGCATGCTTTTTCCCCTCTTTCTTTTCACATCATAGTCGGAATTTGAATACCACCGAAAAAATATTTTCATACTAACCGCTACAATGAGAAGATTACGGGAACGTTTTCGATCTAAAAGTAAAACGGGCGTACCTGACACAAGGAATACCCAACAAAGCCAAAAACTCCACAAGGGAACAGACACGAACGAGCCTCTCGCTGGAAGTGACAAGTCAAATGAAGGCACCGAGAGATCAAGCACTCCCCTCATAACAGAGCATACACCAATTCGTGAGCTTTGGGCATTAGCCTACGAAAAATTACGAGACGAAGATGGCGAACTCTTCAAGAATTACGAAACTGAGCTCAAAAAAAGCGTCCCCTGGAGCCTTGCGCAAATGATTCCCATTAAAGCCAATAAGAGAGACGCGATGGAGGCTATCCTCAGGATCAAGATGGACGAGATCAATACAAATGCGTCAAGCCCTGAGTTTAAGGCTAAGGCGGGCGAAATCATTCAGCTCTTTGTGAAAGTCGTGGGTTCAGCCAACGACTATATCAGCAACGCTGCAAGTGCCAACCCATACACTTCGATAGCTTGGACTGGTGTCAGCCTTATTTTGCCAGTGAGTCAAGACCAAAACATATAGGTAGTTGACTGGCTTATGCTTACTCCACTTTAGCTTTTACTGAATCCTTCAGAGCAGAGAGAAGCTCTAGCGAAAGGGCTCGATTATATCGCATCCCTTATCGCTTTGAGTCGAATGCGAGAAGAACTCTATGTTGATTGTTATGAGTCAGGTACCGGTGGACATGAAAGTTTTCGACAATCTCATAACCAGTACAAAGCCGCCTTAGAGAAGCTTTACAGACATATTTTGAGATTCCAGGTCACAGTCTATTGCTACTATACTAATGTATCTGCTCTCCGCTTCGCTCAAGACTCTATTAAGTGGCATTCCTGGGAGCAGTTGGTGAATGAACTTCGTGATCAAGAGAGTAACTTCACCGCTATTGAAGAGAAATGGCGCGATATACAGCGTCGTGAAGAACACTTGGCCGTCAAAAATCGGCAGCAGACGACTAACAACACTTTATCTGCTCAGCTTTCTGTATCACAAAAGGCGTTTGACAGCGCAACGGAAAAAGAATACGAGGAACTATTGCATTGGCTTTGTGATGTTGATCACTCTGCTATGCACAATGCCGCTCGCGACAGGCATGAGACGGGCACGAATGAATGGTTGATAAGTGATAGCGAGGAGTTCAAGGCTTGGGAGACGGGAGACAGGTCATTGTTATGGCTCCACGGTAAAGGTATGATGGGATTTTCGTCACAACTGATTTATCTACCTGAAATTCTCACTAATTACCTATCTATAGCCGGCTCAGGAAAGTCAATCCTAACCTCGTCCGTCATCAAATACTTGCGAGATCAATACGCTTCAAATTCATCACTCTCGACTGCGCTTGCATACTTCTACTTCAGCTTTAGTGATCCCCAAAAGCAAAGAGTAGATGTAATGCTTGCGTCTCTTATCAAACAGATTTGTTCTTACTTTTCTGGAGAGCTTTTATTTCGCGAGGCTTTCCGTGGGCATAAGAAAAGAGGAGAGCGCCCAGATACTCAAACCCTCGAGAAGATGCTAGTGACGTCTGCATCGAGTTTCTCGAATGTTTACGTTGTTATCGATGCTCTAGATGAGTGTCCTTTGCTCAACGACCAACGAGAAAAACTACTGAAAAGCTTGGGGCGTATTGTTATTGACGCCCCTAAAAATGTTCATATATTTTTAACCAGTCGCAAAGAGCAAGATATTGATAAGAGGCTACGTGCTTTCCTATCTCCACCGTCGCGGATTGAAATTGATCTGCTAGCCCACCAGGAGACACTTAATCGCGATATCCACCATTATATCGACCTAAAGTTAGCGACTGACGCTTTTCATTCTTGGCCAGAGAGTGTAAAAGAAGAGGTGAAGCAATCACTCGTGGAGAAAGCAGATTGCATGTAAGTGTTTATTCGTTCAGTGGTTTATCAATGAAGGTATTAACAGTATGCAAAGGTTTCAATACGTTCGTTTTCAATTTGAAGGTCTTCAAAAGCTTACGGCTACGCCCCAGATACGCAAGGCTCTTCGAGAGCTTCCTATTGGACTTGATGCAACTTACGACAGGATTCTGCAATCCATTGATTCTGATTTCCAATGCCAGGTTCTAGGCTCTCTAAAATGGCTCGCCTTTTCAAAGAGGACCTTGAGCATTGGAGAGCTCTCTGAGGTTTTTACTCTTTATACTATGAATTCAAACGATGGTATATTTGACGAGGCAGAACGCCCTTTCTCTTGTACGGATATTCTCAAGTATTTCTCCGGCCTGATAATCGTTAATGGAAGCAGCTGGCGAGTTAGTGGCGATTCAAGAACAGTTCGGCTAGTACACTTTTCTTTGAAGGAGTACTTGACTTCCTCAAGGGTATTAGAAGGCCCTACCTCGGTGTTCTCGTTCAAAGAGGTTGATAGCCATCTGTCTATTGTCCGTGTGTGCCTCATCTACCTTGGACACATCAGTTCTCAATATGCGAAAGGCGTGGACCTCAAATTCTCAGGTCACTCATATCACTTGGCGAACTACCTATGCGACTACTGGCTGGTCCATCTCGAGGAGATTCTATGTGAATCAGCCGATATTGGACAGGAAGCGTTACCTCTGCTCGCTGCTAATAGCCAAAGCTTGGTCACTATACTCCACATTGGTAGAGATCTCCCTCGGAGAAGTCACCCTGATCTACTGTTGAGACCTTATTGCTACACTGCGTTTCTCGGCCTCTGCCGGCTGACAGAATTTCTAATATCTGAATGTGTTAATAAGTATATTACTTCATATGACTTGGGCAGAGCCCTTTCAATCGCCGCCTATCAAGGAAATACAGACATCATGCGGTTGCTTCTCAAAGCAGGTGCGGATGTCAACGTCTGTGGGACGCAAGGCACGAGCCTAAGAACCGCTATGAGACGAGGGGATCTTATTGCTCTAGACCTTCTTGAGACACACGGAGCCATTATAAGCAGTCTTCCGATTACCGAATGTATATACGAATACCCGGATGAAGAAGTCGTAGAGTATCTCCTTGATAAAGGTGCTGATATCAATATGCAAAATAAGCGCAATGAGACAGCCGTTCACGTGGGATTTTCTAGAGGTGACGAAAGAATTTTCAAGCTCTTGCTAGAAAGAGGTGCCGATGTGAACGCTGGAATACACGAGCATTTAGGCACGCCACTTCAGAGAGCGTGTTGGATTACGAAAGACTACACGACTCGATTCGTTAAAATGCTATTAGACAGAGGCGCAGATCCAAACAATCGGGGTGGGAGATTTGGCACAGCACTTCAAGCGGCATGCGCCATTATCTCGACTAATGGCAGTCCTGAGGACCCCTATTTTAGTCGTGACCTCCGTCACGGCAGGCTGAAAGGTCGTTATAGCTACGGCACGTCCATAATATCGCAGAAGATACGGCTTCTCATTGATCACGGCGCCGACGTGAACATTCAAGGAGGGGAGTACGGAACAGCACTCCATGCACTAGCAGGGTCGACAGAACCCGAAACGGGCCAATTGATAGAGCTTCTCTTGAACAATGGCGCCAAGGTCAACCAACTAAGTGACTGGGGAACGGCATTGCATGTTGCCTGCCATGAGGGCATGATAGAGACAGTTCATTTGCTGCTCAACCGTGATGCTGATGTGAATGCAGTAGGCGGCAAATTCGGCACGCCACTACAAGCTGCTGTAACTTCTATCAAGGACTGGAGATGGGGAATAGGGGATGACTTTGCCCGTGAAAAGGAGCTCAGATTGGAGATCGTAGAGCTGCTCTTAGAGAGAGGCGCTGAGATCAACCAAAAGGGGGGAAAGTACGGAATTGCGCTCCAGGCTGCCTACGCCAACGAACATGTCGACGCGGAGCTGATCCGCTTGCTGCTCGACCACGGGGCAGACATTACCGCAGAAGGCGGGCACCATGAAAGCGTGCTTGCTGCCGCTTGCAGCAACCCTCGGATTGACCTCGAGAGTGTGCAAATGCTGCTGGACCGCGGCGCTGATGTCAATGCAAAAGGGGGCGCGGACGGAACCGCACTCATAGTTGCCTGCAAACGTGAAAATCTTGAACTGATGCAAGTGCTGGTTGGCCATGGCGCTGATGTGAATGCAAAAGGCCCACGGGGCCAGACCGCTCTCATAACAGCTTTTTACCAAGAAGCCAACGAATTTACCTCATCGGTGGCGAAATTACTACTCGAAAAGGGCGCTGACGTAAATGCGGAAGATGAAGAAGGTCAAACGCCTCTTACACTTTCTTGCCTCCATGAGGGGAGACTTGAGTTGGTGGAATTACTGCTCAAAGAGGGCGCTGATGTAAATGCGGAACAAAGAGATGGTCGAACGCCTCTCACGATTGCTTGCAGGTATAACAGAGGCTCTGAATTGGTGAAACTACTGCTTGAGCATGGCGCAAATGTTTTCCATCAAGACTGTGCTGCCTGGCATGAGGTTGCCCAGCGCTGGGCACCTACATGGAAAGACAAACTTGCTAAACTGGAGCTTTTCCATAACTACCACATCGATGTCAACCATGTGCATAAAGAGCATGGTACCGTGTTGAACACTTTGGTTAAAAAAAGGTATCATGACTCTACAAGGGGATTGAATCCTCTCATCCGCTGGCTACTCGACCACGGCGCTGATATCAATATCCTGGGCGGAGACTTTGGCTTTCCGCTCCAAGCGGCATGCACACTCACTGGTATGGCACACGATATCATTGGTATGGGTATGACATACAACATCAATTCCATCTCTGCCAATACGAAATTGCTGCTTGAACAATGCCCCGATATCGATGTCAATGCCCAAGGCGGAAGATTCGGCTCGGCACTCCAGGCAGCCGCATTTTCGGGCCAGGCTGAATCAGTCAAGTTACTGCTTGAGAAAAATGCCAATGTCAACGCAGCAGGCGGCAAGTATGGAAGTGCTTTGAATGCTGCTATTGTTAGCGGCCATTGGAATATTGTTGAGATTCTACTACAAGCGGGGGCCACACCTGATTGTTATGTTCAACAACAACCTGATGAAGAATTGCTTGAAAATATTCGAAAGGAAGAGTACGTTGCTTATCTGGACACGAAAGGCGCTGCTGATAGATATATGAAGTTCTGGGAGGTTCAGAGCAAATCTAGATTGAAGAATTAGGTCGGTGGCTAGGCTGAACTCACGCAGCTTTTTCCTATCTGCTTTACCAGACACCAAAGAAGGCCCTGGGATAATGATAAGCAGGTTCTGGCTATTGCATGCAACGATATAGGCTGCCTTGTGAAGGAGGTCCCCGAGAAATGATGAAAATGATCTCCTCGACATCCAGGTTAAGGGATTGGACTCGACGGAAGCAAAAAGAAATGCTCTCCGTGAGCTTCAGTCCCTATCCAAGATAGCTGTTGTAGCTGGTACTGGTGTGACAGGCTGTGAGGTTGCCGGCGAGCTGCGGTACCCTTATGATTTGGGCCGAATTTCCAACAATCAGCAAAATCAGCAAAACCGACTGAGTGCCTTCCTCGGTTAGTGGCCTCCCACTGGCATCAATGTCTTATTATAAATGTTACTACAACCTATATACAGCGCTAGGCCATATGCTGCAAATGGATACCTACCTATGCAATTCAATAAAGCTAGCGGGCACTACTAGTAGTCCCAGAAAGGCAACATTGCACTAATACGGAATTTGTACTCCTCGTTACATTGTATTACTAGCCCCGACAACTTCTTGTATAGCGTCCGCTGGCGCCACCGGGGCTATCCCGATGTGAGGATTGTAACGCGGCTTTCTGCGCGCCTTGCCGATGTCTTGTATAACATAACGCGGATTTTCCGTCTTGTAACCATATTTTAACAGGGTCTCTCAGTGTAACTAGTGTAACTAACAAAGAAACTTTGGTGGAGGCGTCCATTATCTGTACGCGCCTAAGTAAAGCGGGTTTTAACAGTAAGCTCAGCCCAAAAGGGTGCGTAAGAAGATTTTAGACGTAGCAGATCAGAGCTGGGGATTAATAATATAGAACGGAATATAAAGAAGACTACTTGTCGATTGTGGAAAAAAGGTAGCTGTATTCATGTACGAATAGTCAGTTGGTCTAATAGCGGTAATATAATCAACTAGGGCAACCCTGCTGTCGCTTGCTATTTGCGGGGACCACTGGAGCATTTTATTCCTTCTATTCATCAGCCTCTCTTAAAGCAGGTACTAAGTACATGTAGGATTCCAGAGAACTCTGTAGTGGTGACATCTCAGTGTGTATAGACCTAGACAAAAGAACTCCCAACTGCAAGGACTTATGTCTGATTTGGCATACGGTCCCTTCTGCATGCGTATGTGGCGCAAGACCCCTTAACACCCAAGGCATAGCAGTACATCAAACGCAATGAAATTATTGATGACGTTGCAAAGGTAATCCTCTTTATGGCTGGCGCTGGGGCTAGCTTCGTGTCCAGGCAAGTCATTGGCGTGGATGGTGGTCTGAGCTATGTGTAAGGTGTTGTCTTCTGGGTCCAGGCCATGGTATGCATTTACCAAAGATGACACAAGAGTTTTTACTACATAGTAGAATTCAAGGATCAGAGGTATGTACATTTGAGTTTGCGGGTCATACGGGGTCTATGATTTCAGACTTTGTCCTGAAGGCCACTTCGTCCATAGTTCTTGCCATATCTCTGCTCGCTCTTCTCCAATTGAAAACTGGTGTCTTTACGACAGCCATATGATTGCCAGAGACAGGTGTTTATTGCTATCCGAAAGTGTTTCCAACTGACTGTTCCAGACGCTACAGGTGCGCTTTACTCAATGATGAAGGTAGCCCGTTCTCGCTGACATCGATCGTTTGATTCACGTCATATCGGAGCGAGATAGCCTAAAAGCGTAACTTGTGCAACCAAGAGACCCAATTCTTTTGTCCGACTCCTGAGGAGAATGTATACAGAGGCCTTGGCTGTTTTTTTTTTTACAAGTCGAAGGGATGCTCTCAGGTAATCACAAGTAGGTATTTAACCAGTATTGTCCAAGAGCAACAATGATCCTGCACCCCCAGGGGTATCTATTTCCATATCCTGCATGTCCTGAGTTTAACTGATGGCAATGTTTCGCCTTATAAACACTAGTACAGAAGAAGCTGCCGGTCAATGACCTCGTATTGTTGAACGATTCGTTATCTACCGTTTAGGGGGCCAGCCTCTTACATTACCTCCAGTAGGCAGACTAATGGGGGTGTGGTAAGACAAAGAAACGAGTGCTTACCAAGCCTCTTTGGTTGAGTCTACACACTTTCCGACCCGCACTTGTTTAGAATCATAATATCCACTCGGGGAGTGTACTGTAGCCTACGTCTTTATTAATCAATGATTAATCCCCGACATTGAGTACTAGCCCAAGTGCTTATATAGTACTGTCATAGCAACGGCTTGAATATAAAAGCGAGCAAGAGGTAACTATTTCCTTAGGAGTACTGCCGAGTCTAGTTGTCCCTAGAGCAGACCATATCTCACCTAGCTTTTACATACTCTTTAACTCCAGTCGGCGCATATTATCATGAAGGGCCTTGTGTTGGTATGTTTTTTGTGCTTCTCTTGGCAACGCTAGGCATCTGATTGTCCTGACAGGTTACTGGTGGTACCGGCTTCGTGGGGTCGCACATCATCCAGCATGCCCTTGCTGCTGGCTATCCCGTTCGAGCGTCCGTACATCATTCTCTATATTCATATACATTCTCTGATGCGCTAACTGTCCGTCTAGCGTGACTCGTCCAGGTAAGGCTTCGGCTATATACGCTATGAATCCTAATGCGTCAGGCTTGGAGGCTGTTGAGGTGACCGACCTGGCGGACGGCGACTTCACCGACGCTTTGAAGGGTAAGTTGACGGTCATCGTAATACACACACGACAATTCTGGTCGTGCTAACAGAGATGGGATATTAGGAGTCGAAGCTGTTATTCATTGCGCCGCCCCAAGCTTTGCGGACCCGACCACACCATCTATGGTAGTGTGGAGGGGTGCGTATGATGGCACCGTTAATCTTATCGAGCAGTCCTTGAAAGCGGGAATCAAGAAATTTATCTATACTGGGACATTTATGAATCTATTTGGAGATAACGGCAAATCCGCTTTTGGTTCTGAGTCCGTTGGACCCAACGGTGAGTCTTGAATTGTGCTTGGCTTCCCCAGTTTTCCATCCAAGACACAACTATATAGCAGAGGCTTACCAGAGATAGATTGGAACATGATCAAACAAGAACAAGTTCACATGAAGGACGACAATCCTGCCGGTCCCGTTGCTGCGTATCTCGGCGCCAAAGTGATTGCTGAGCGCAAGATGTGGGAATTTGCTGAGGCCAACCCTCAGGTGGATTTTACCTCAGGTATGCTATTCTCCCCGTACTCGCGCACCCATGCTAAGAGGCTTACACCGATAGTGATCCCGAGCGGCATCTACGGCCCTTTTGCTGATAATTTCCCGAGGCCGAGCAACGTCCCCGGATTGAGTAGCAATCAGTTCATCTACATGCTTCTCCACGGTGGCCCTGAGGGCCCCAATACGTACCCCCCCATCTTCGTGGGGCATACGGTTGATGTGCGCGATGTTGCGAAAGTCCATATCCTGGCCCTCAGCGCGGACCCGCTTCCTAATAAGCAGCAAAAGCGTTTTCTCTTATCCGAGGGAGTCCACACATGGCCTGAGGTGGCCGATATGGTACGCAAGAGGAGACCTGAGCTCGCGTCGCGTATGCCGAAGGACGATGCTACCCCTCCGGTACAGACGAATGCGCCGCTGGACACGTCCCTGGTTAAAAAGGTTCTTGGCTTTGAGTATCGCCCGTGGGAAGAGATGTTCCTTACTGGTCTTGACGAATGTCTTAAATGGGACGCCAGCAGTATTTAACAAACTATACATTAGATAGTTAGTAATACAAGGGATTCCCAAAGGATAAGCCTAAAGTATAGTTCTAGGTTTATATTAGCGGATGATCTAGGAGATTATAATAGTCTATTACACTACCGCTGATATTTCTACTATGTATAAGATCATGCCACCTAATTACTATGCAAGGAGGGCTATCAATTGTTCTACCTTGCTGTATTACAGGTTTTTACGTTACTTTCAATATCCGAGATAGACGCAATACCCAACATTCTAAGCACATTGTAACGATAAAAGTTAAAATTGACATTGAAGGCGACATCCTGTTACAACTTTCTTAAAAGACCGCTGATGACCAGTCTCAAGAAGATAGCCCAGGAAAACAGGTGCTAGCTGTGCCATTGAGAATTCCATGTTTGATCTCTCTCGTCTTTAACGCAGTGCTGAGAAGTAGCTTTGAAGAAGCCGTCAACTTAATAGATCATAAGGCATCTGCGACGCCCTATTGTTTAGATCTGCCAGAAGACGATGCCAAAGCAATGACTGTTTCTTGCAAAATTATCCATTTTAGTAGTAATGATTTCACAGAAACACCTGCTGCGGCCTTCTTAGAGAAACTGGCATATATATATGACAAGTACCAGTATACTAGTCCTATAAAATACTGCGGGGCTGTTTAAATAAGGAACTGGTTCAGAATCATAATGAGAAATTAACCACATTGACGGCCTTTGTCAAGTTCTGCTTTTCGCATATAGTCTGGATCTTCTAAATGAGTTTACTGAGGCCGTGTAGAGACTCTTTCTTTATTATAAAGGCCCGTTCACCGGGGCATATACCTAAGTGAGGAAACTGAGGGACCATCCCCTTTTGCTAGGCTGCATCGTTGGTATGTATAATCCGCTTCTTAATATGTGCTTTCAATTAAATTAATATAGAAGAACTGGATGCGACTAGATCTACCCACTGCAAGGGTTTCCAAGCCCTGATGTGCCCTCTATACCAGGATTGGCATACGTTGACGGTACTATACTATAAGGCAGCTAAGGCGATAGGATCCTACCTTGAGTCTCTGCACAAGGCCGGTCTCTTGCCGTATCATCTCGATTTCGCTGAACATAGATTCTAAGATAGGCTGTAAAAAGCACTAAAATGATCGATGAAACTTGGGGACATGTTCTGTTGTAACCCGTCGTGTTCATGCAAGTCTAACGTATTACATAATTTACCGAGATTGGGCCAAGAGGTTGAGTCTATAAGGAAGCATCAAACAACGTTTATATGTATTGATTGCCTGAAAACGAGTGGGGGATCTTAAAAAAAATTGGTGCATGCTGTTTATTCTTGATTAGGGTTGTATACGCGCTAAGCCGCCGTTTCTATCTTGCCATCTACCTCACGTACGCTCGCCTTGATGAGGAAAATGCAATGCCCTGATTTGTGTTCAAAGTCGATTCAACGGCCGATTGCCTGCATTGCTCGACAATCTCCGCTCTGCCAGGGTCATAAAGAGCTGCGCAGCTTGAAATAGCTTATAACATCGATGCAATATACATACCACTTAGCTGATAAAAGTGCATGAGGCTTACGGCTTGATTATTGATTGAATGACCGGCTGCTACAAGGCATTTTTCTAGGTGTATACTCTATCCGAGTAATTGACAACAGCCATTGTTCTCCAGATTCAATGACCCCAAATTCGACACTGAATGGACCAAAAGAGCACAAATCTGCGCTGGGCTTTCAAGTGTAGGGTACTTGCAGCTCTAACAATTTTGCTATATTATCTGCTATTATGCGCAAAGTGCCTATATAGAGCACCTTGTGACTGCTACCAAAGCAAATTCAAGTCCCAACCGACAGACCCAGATTTGCACCGCCAATGATCAATCGGTGGAATGACAGCCCATCCCATCTTGGCGCCAATGCGGGCTGCAAAACTAAAGGTCCCAGCCCAGGAACAATTCAGCCGGCGCCCCAGATCGCATGGACCAGAAATGGAAAGGCGCGCTGAAAGTGGCATTCGGCCCGGCGGGGAACCCCAAGCCACAGATCCGCATCTTATGTGGGTTGACTTGTCAAGTTGGAGTTTTCCGTATGTCCGTCTTGGTATCAGCCCAGGGCTCAGGCACAAGTTTGTCTGGGCCGGAAGAGAAAGGCGGCATTGGAGCAAAGTCTGGTATTGGCATTAGTTGCTTGGAGTAACTAGTTTGGCTTGGCCGCATGTTGTTTAACATTAACCATTACCCGGATGAGAATCCTCCACAGCGTATGAGGGGAAGTCCAACGCTATTGGTATTACTCTGCGCATAAAATGGGCAAATGGAAGGGCTGGAGGTACTTTTGACGGTCTAGATGGGTTGGCGAGGCTGGAAAGCAATAATCTGTAGACTCTGGGCCAGCACATTGCAGGGAAGGATCAGGGATTGAAGGAGCAGGGGACATGTTGACCGCAAGTAGGATTATTCCGCCTTGTTGTCATAGGTTGGTACTTTAGCCGGAGAGGCGAGGCTGGATGTTGTTATGATCCCATGTCAGGGCTTACCTAAGTATTGATTGAGAATAGTCCCGGATGATACGGAGCTGCAGAAGTTGAGTTGCTAGTTTCTTGACTGATTTCCAGTCTTCTGGTTGAACTTGGTGATCACTGCTTCTAGACTTGCACGACACCTGGACGCTTCAGCTCTTCGTCAAGGTAATGCAATAAGGGTGCATCGTATGAAACCATACCACGTTTTTCTCCACTCATTTACAAACTTTGAATCTATTTATGACTTGTAGTGAACAGGATGCGGGGAAAGCCGCCTTTTGATAAATTGAAGTTTTGAAAACTGAATCAAAATACTCAAAGAGCAACGAAACAAACATCATCTAACAAACAAGGTCAATTGATACTAACAAGAAGCTGCTTGCTTCTCTATCTAGCAGAGTACTAATACTTTGTGAAGTCGAATCATCATGGACCTGCAACGACTATTTCCATACTCAAAACTGTGTATTTCATCCTCCTCCATTACGTGATACCATCGCCACGAAAAGCAGAGTAGCATTATTACTCCGCACTTTCCCCAGGCTGACCACACGGTTACTCTCGCTTCTGGCGTGATCGCAATCCCAGCACCTCCAGAATAACCTGCTTCTTCCCCGCTTTTGTCTACTTAGCCGGTAAAACCAGCAATATCATCAAAAGAGGACCTCTCGGAAGTACTGGCTAAAAAGAAAAAGCAACAAAAATCTACACGTAAACGATGCAAGGTCCGGCTATTCATTCATCAGAAATGCTGATCGGCAAGGAAACATGGGCCACAGCTGTCAAACCACACTAAAACAAACAAATTAGTTTTAGCACGGCAAAGACAGAAATTAGCTAGAGAAAAAAGCCAAGCCTTCCCGTCTTTTGCCCGTCAACAAAATAATCATCACCCCGTCATTCCACTCTTCTCCATATTCAGGCTAAATGGCAAGAGATGCCGACAAAGTCCTCGGTGGAGAAACATGTCCGTTTGTGGAGTCTTGCCTCCCGGCCAAGAAACTGGGGTAGCATCACGTTCCGTATGGGGTAATAAGCTACAGCCATGTGTAGCTGCAGGGTGTGCAGCATCGTCATAGCCCATACCGCCAATTCGAATAAATATCGAGCTGTTCCTGAAATTTTTTGAAAATCTGGAGAACCATGAGCTATTGAAGGATCTCGGTTGGAAAGAAAAAATCATTCACTATGATTTCCAACGCAGCTCTCATCGCCGCTCTGACGGCCCTTCTGCCCAGCACCGCCCTGGCGCAAAACAACCAGACCTACGCAAACTACTCTTCTCAGGGCCAGCCTGATCTCTTCCCCCAGACGCTGGCCACGCTCGAGCTGTCGTTCCCCGACTGTGACCACGGCCCGCTCAAGAACAACCTCGTCTGTGACAGCACGGCTGGCTATGCCGAGCGAGCACAGGCGCTGATTTCGCTCTTCACGCTCGAGGAGTTGATTCTCAACACCCAGAACTCGGCTCCCGGTGTTCCTCGCCTGGGGCTTCCCAACTACCAGGTCTGGAATGAGGCTCTCCACGGCCTGGACCGCGCCAACTTTGCCACAAAGGGCGGCGAATTCGAATGGGGAACCTCCTTCCCCATGCCGATTCTGTCAATGGCAGCTCTCAACCGCACATTGATCCACCAGATTGCAGACATCATTTCAACCCAGGCCCGTGCCTTTAGCAACAGCGGCCGCTACGGTCTTGATGTCTACGCCCCCAACATCAACGGCTTCCGAAGCCCCCTCTGGGGCCGTGGCCAAGAGACTCCCGGCGAAGACGCAAACGTCCTGACGTCTGCCTACACATACGAGTACATCACGGGTATTCAGGGCGGTGTTGACCCCGAGAACCTCAAGATTGCCGCCACGGCGAAGCATTTTGCCGGCTACGATCTGGAGAACTACAACAACCAGTCTCGTCTGGGCTTCGACGCCATCATCACCCAGCAGGACCTCTCCGAGTACTATACCCCTCAGTTCCTGGCTGCATCGCGCTACGCAAAGTCCCACAGCTTCATGTGCGCCTACAACTCCGTCAACGGAGTTCCCAGCTGCTCAAATAGCTTCTTCCTTCAGACTCTCCTGCGCGAGAGCTGGGGCTTCCCCGAGTACGGCTACGTCTCATCCGACTGTGATGCCATCTACAACGTGTGGAACCCTCACAACTACGCCAACAGCCAGTCATCCGCTGCCGCCGACAGCTTGAGGGCTGGTACCGATATTGACTGCGGCCAGACCTACCCCTGGCACTTGAACGAGTCCTTTGTGGCCGGCAAAGTCTCCCGCGGCGAGATTGAGCGCTCCGTCACTCGTCTGTACGCCAACCTGGTCCGTCTCGGATACTTTGACAAGAAGAACGAGTACCGCTCCCTCGGCTGGAAGGACGTTGTCAAGACTGACGCCTGGAACATCTCCTACGAAGCTGCTGTCGAGGGTATTGTGCTGCTCAAGAACGACGGCACTCTGCCCCTGTCCAAGAAGGTCCGCAGCATTGCTC